GAGAGGGAGGGAGGGTATGTCCACAATTGAGAATACTTATTACCAACTACAGCCATCATGGCTATTTACATTCTTGGCCACATAATTATCAATGTGCAAAATGAAAAGGCAACTGAAAATGGAACAATATGAAGAAAGCATGTTAGCTTCTGGCATTTCTATTCCAAAAAATCAAACATGTTGCCTGGTTAGCTCTTTTAAGAAACAGGGTTTTAAATGCCATTTCCCCAGAAAATGGAAACAAGGATGTGAAGAAAGGTAAAAAAACTGCAACCCCTTTCAAATCTCAAACCTTTCAACCTTACAGCATTTCTAAACACTGTAATTTGGAACATAATACACCATAACAATAATCTAATTGCTATATCATTGAAAACACAGCCATATTAAGATGCAGGTCTTTCTATATGTACATCAGGGACATGAGATTCTTAGTCTCAACTATGCTGTAATCACTTGAGAATTGTAAATTTTCCATTCAAAGGGAAAAGTTAGGAAAGATTGAGTTTATTCAGATAGAAGAACTATGAAGGTTTAAGTTCAACACATAGAAATTTTAATAATAGATGGGAATAAACAAAGTTGGTGGAGAGATGAAATCTGAAATTCTTTTTTCCTCTCAGGCAAGGACATAAAAAAGATACCATCACTTTTAATTTGCCCATATATGGACTGGAAAGGAGATAACATAAACTCATTTTATCTTTCCTTACATACTCAAGCAAATGACTACTCATGTCACCATTTTGAAGTAGTAGAGAAAATAAAAGCGAGAGAAGACACACAGAAGCAAATGTGGTCACCTCAGGACAATTCATCAACAGAAGCCTTTCTTTTCATGCCACGTCTCAGCATTGAGCAGCTTTCTATTTAAACAATCTAGGTTATCAAGGAGGAAGTAACCTTGAAAAAAAGAGAGATACCATCTGTCTTATCACTGAGTCTAAAAGTACTGGTACATAGACATTCAGTAAATACTTGTTAAATAAATGAATTACTTTTATTACAGTTTGAATAAATTACATATCCTTCAGCTAAAACAAAATGTTCCACTTCACCAACTTACATAAACAGACCTATCATTCTGCTCAGTATGGTTTCATCTCTTATTCAACTTAAAACTCGGGGGTTATAAGTGGTACTAGAATATAGGTTCATAATATCAGCATTATATCATAAGAGATAAATGAATAGTCTAAACTCATATATTTTTATATTATTTGAAAATATGAAAGTTTGTTTCTCATTTATATTTCTGAAGCTGTATTTGGAACAAAAACGGTGTTTTTCTGGTTCAAGTAATATTAACACAGACCAATCCCTGGGATGTAGTTAAGACTGCTTTGGTTTTACTGTGTTTCTAACTATTCAGAACAAAGAAAATATAGTTTATTTACCTAAAAGACTAACAGACCTAGGTGGGTTCTCCTAAAATATATACAGGATATTGCCTTCTGTACATAATCCAACACTTGAGTCAATTTACCAACCCTACATTTAGATCTTCATTACTTACAGAAAGCTCTGAGGATTAAAATGGTTAGGTAAGATAGGTATTATGGTCCTCTAACATAAATAGAAAATGTAGAATTATTGGTCCACCATCAAAATCAAGCTCCTAAAAATATCCTATCCCCTTGAATTAATATTTAGGCAGCTAAATATTTAAAAAAGACATGAGACATGCTGGGTATCTTAAAATGAGTATGTCAGTTAGTTAATTCTGTGATCTGCTGCTACCAGCGAAGTACTGTACAATCTGTTATTATCCACTGTCCTATAGATCATCTGTTCTTGGTGCTGGTTTGTTCCAGGAAGGGAGACAGCTGCAACACTATATCCCTGTTCAACCTGAGGACCATCTGACTTTAATTGTAACACACAGCTTGATGTGGCTCAGGCTATGAGAAGCCAAAGTATCGTCTGTAATAATCTGGAAAAGCAGAAACCTGCCAACAGAGGGCTGAAAACAGGGACTTATGCTGTCTGACTGCCTGACGGGCTGCAGGAAATATGATTAATGAGTAAGGTATAATGATATCAGGAACCCGATTAGCACCACAGAAAGGTCACAGATCAAAGTAGTATGCATTTCATGAGCTACAATCATTGCATAAAATCTGTGGACTTGTAAAGTAGAGGTAAACCAAAAAGAGGAGGGGGATAAAACACTTATGTGATAACATGCGAACAGATACATTAAATACCATAATAATAATTTAGTCACTTATAGAAAGTTAACGGGAAATGATACATGAATCAATATGGGCTGTACTATAGGAAATCATTGTTCATCATGGGCATATAGTAACTAGTTTTGAATGATGAATGAATTATTAAATTCTTCCATAAAGACACATGTAAGGAATATCAGTGAATATTATTTTGCATATAATTTCACAGTCATGTCTAAGATTAGAGTGTGGGCAGAGAAAACCGAAATCTGATTGAAAGCAATTTGGTAAGTTGCCACCTTCTTTCCCTCGGTGCCCTTGGGAAACAAACCCCAAACAGATCTGGCTCTTCTGCAGGTGAAGGTAATGGGAGTAAAGAGGGGGAGTACTGTCAGGATAATGGCTTATTATACAATTTATACACTTAAATGATCTTAACTGTCAAAATATTGTTGAAAAGCCTTTAATGTAACATATTCAAATGTTTCTGCCACTTAGACCTCTTTTAAAGCAAAATAAGCACACTAATAAACATCTTTGTACTTTTAATAATACTAAACATGGTAATGATTAAAGGAGACCTGACTCCCTTGAGGCTTAAAATTTTCAATCAAATTCAAGAAAAAGTGTTTCAATAGTAAAATGATCAGGACATGATTTTAATTTGTAATTTTTTACTTAAAAGTCTATTCCTAAAAAAGAGGATGATTACTTATACCTCTGGAATGTTATATAAGTATTATTTTATATCTACTTAATAGTAAAACCATTTCTTTAGAATGGTGATTCAAAAGGAACCACTGAAAAATGAAAAGACAAGTCACAGACTAAGAGAAAAATATTTGCAAAACTAAAGGACTTTCATGGAGAATATATGAAGAACTCTTGCAATTAAGTAATAAAGAGACAAACAACCCAACTGAAAAACAGGCAAAAGATCTGAATAGATTCTTCAAGAAAGAACATATATGAGTAGAAAATACTCCTGTGAAAAGGAAACCTCACTAGTCATTAGGGAAATGCAAATAAAAATCATAATAAGTATACTTACAGGAAAGGTTAAAATAAACAATATTGGCAATACCAAGTCTTGGCAAGGATATGGAAAAACTGGAACCTCATATATGGTTGGTGAGCATGCAAAATGGTATATTAAACATACTCTTATCGTTTGATCCAGCAATTAAACTTCTAGGAATATATCCAAGAGAAACGAAAACAGATGTTCACCCTAAGACACATGCAAATATTCATAATAGCCTCAAACTGGAAAAGAACCCCAAATGTCCATAAATTGGTAAACAGATAAACAAAATGTGTTGTATTTGTACAATGGAATAGAGCAATAATACAAAGAAATGAACTTTGTAAAAGAATGCTGATATATGCAACAACATGAATCAATCTCAAAAACATCAGGCTAAGTGAAAGAAGCCAGGCACACAATAAGTACATGTCGGAAGATTCCATTTACAAAAAATTTCTAAAAAAAGCAAAGGTATACAGCTAGAGTCAGTGGTTGCTTGGGACTAGGTACGGGAGCAGAGACTGATTGCAAACAGGTCCAAGGAAACTTTTTGGAGTGATATAAGTGCTCTAGAGCCAGATTGTAGAGATAGTTATGCAACTGTATAAATTTACAAAAACTCATCCAATGTGTACTTTAAAAAAAGTTGAATTTAATGGTATGTAAATTAGACCTCAATAAATGTGTTTTAAAAGGGTAGACAATCACTGAAAGGGAAAAAAAAAACTGTGGAATGACTACATTTTACTGACTTGTTTGTGCCACACTGGGGGTTTAAAAAAAAAGAAAAACCCAGAGACAACTGTCACGTTTAAAGGTTTAATGTCTCCTCATAGTTTCCAAATCACAAATGAGGAAACCAAGGCTCATCAAGGTTAAATTGCCCAAGGTCCCTAATGAGCAACATGATTCGCTCAGGGCCGGGAAGACCGGTCTACCTCAGAGCCTAAATTCTTTCCTCTCCCCCTGTGCTGCCTCCAGTGTATGTGAAAGGAGAGATTTCAGAAATAATGGGATTGCGATTAGGGTCTAGAAGACAGGATTAAAATAAAGTTGTTGGTATAGAAGGTAAGAAATGCCACCTAGGAAACTAAAATGCAATAATTTTCCTTAAGTGTAAATTAAAAACATAATGCAACTTAGATTTCATTTTTTAATATGGATATGATAAAGATACAGCTCTTAAATACTGAAAATAAAGCTCCTCGGTTCCAAACTTTTATGAAAGCTAAAGGCGAAATGGAAAGTTGTATTACAGAATCCATATAATAGAGGACAGTGAAGAATCCACTAGAGAGGATTCTGAAGACTCGTTATAATCACAATGATTAATGCACTTAAAAATATTTAATTTTTCATATTCTAAATATTACGTGAATATTTCCTTCCAAAGAAAGATAATATAATTTAGAAATCTTGTTTCTATTGCTAAAATGGGCAATGGCCTTCTAGCTTGCAACACAGAATTATGCTCTTTTCCTGGATACAAGAAACTCATGTTTGAGAAAAACATAGCATTCCACTTTCACTTACAACATTCACTTCTATTTTTGAATTATCACGTACATATGAAAGTAACCTAAATTCTGCCTAAGAGAAAAAAAGAAACCATTATACCTTTCAAGTCAATTAGATATTATAAAGTATATATGGAGATTCATGAACTATTATGTCACTTTCAGTGATCCCTATCAACTACAGTTTTGTACAGAAAAGCAAGGGTTAATGATTATACCAACACATGAAAGATACTGTGAGAAAAGGCTCAAGACAGACAGAGTAGATGATTACCATCTTACCAATCTGTTTATGCGAACAAATTCTTCAGAGGTTTTGGCCCAAGGAGGAAGTTCAACATCAGACACTACTGTCCCATCATCCATCACACCAAGATTATAATTATTGAAGTTCACAAACATCTCAGGGAGATAATAAAATTCAGGGATCAACTCCTATATAAAAATAAAAAACAATGTATTATAAATTGTACAATACTGATTAGATATTCATAGAAGGACCTGTTCATTTCCTATTGTACATAAAAAGAACAAAATAAACACAGGGAATTTGTTTTCTCTTTTCACATCATAGCCCTATCACAAAGTTTCTCTGAAGGGAGACCAATACCATCCAACCAAATTTAAATAATATCTTACTGACTGGTTATGTTTTCCTCTTCAGGACAAGTCTTGTAACCTCAAAACCCTTAAATACCAATATTTGACTCGTATATGAGGTTGTGAACAAAATTTAAACAGAGATTAACATGCTATAACAATAATAACATCTTGCACTAGATTTTTATGAGGTAGCTGGAATTTTTGCCAATAAAACACAAAATCTTACTAAGCATTAAAATGCCACTGCCTTGATCCCTTCATTAACCAGGAAGATATTCATTACATTCATCTATGACTTAACAGTGCAGTTTGCTCATATTTCAAAACATTCAAGTTTAGTTTTAAGGGATGACACATAAAAGATCAAAATATATAATTAGTCTAGAAAATGACCTTAAGAAACTGAGTAAATTACATATACGACTTTAGTAAGAACATTGCAAATACACTTTCATAGGATGTTTAATAAGCAGAAAAATGCAGCTGGTAAGGTTTTTCTGTGCAACAGGCCCCATGCATAACTATTTCAGAGGTCCTGTAGCTCAGACTTGAAATCCAGTCTTGACACGGGTCAGTGACTCAGTGGTCTTTCAGATACTCCCTCAGGGCCAGCTATGGCTGGCCTGGCTTTCCAAACCATTCAGTAAAATAGGGAGGTCATCAGATTTTGGACAAGGTCAGTATGAACTCGCCAGAGCAAAGAAAAAAGATCCAGCAGGAATTAAGCTATTATCACCTCCATCATCCATGCGAAATGTTGCTTGACTTGGAATTGTACATCTTTTGTTTACAATTACAATAATTAACTAAGCAGGGCAGAAATGAGCTTGTACTCCAAATGCCTGAGAACCACCTGATCATTAGACTTGAAAAACATTTAAAAGGAGCAAGTTTTTTTAAAACAAGGAAGAATCCTGTTAAAAGTTCAATCATTCATGAAATGACACAGTGATCACAGAAAAATTTTAAGAGTCTCGTCTCCAAAAATAATGTATATAAATCAAATTGACAAAGAGGGGAATGAATGTATGTGTTTTTTAAGCAACAAAAAGCTGTAATTGTTTGGGCTAATATTTATTGCATGAGTCACTTACTAAAAAAATTCTTAATAAACCATATGTCACACTTAATTTTGACACCTTTACAAGGTAAGGTATCATTTCCATCTTAAAATTAACTAAGGCTCAAAGAAGTTAAATAATTTGCCCAAGATTAGTTACATGGCTCTAAGCCTGTGTCCTTGGTCATCAAAAAAGCATGTATTCCACTTATACAGTATAGACACAATACTAAACATTTTAAGTGTAAGTTTTTAACATATATTCTAATTGACTTTTTAAAAAAGGGAACTTCCATGATAAGAAAACTGGCTCTCCTATTTTTAACATTTCTTACATTACATATATGTAATATGCATATATACTGCACACATATAGTATTTACTATTTAATAAATCAAACAGGAAGAACTTTTATATGTTGCAATTATTATTAACCCAAATATGAAGATACACCACTGTATAACTATTATTAATTTACTTAAGTGTGCATTCAGTAAATTCCAATTTGAGAAATTTTACCAAAATGTCTTACTTTCATTCCATATTATTTGTGCTAATGAAGTGGAACATTACTACTCCCAGATCATGTTCTACCAACAGGAGAGAGGAACAAGCCTTCCTTGTGTATTCAAAATCAAAAGCAGTGTTTTGGCTTAATTAAATACTAATTCTTTTAATTTCAATAATGTTTATACATAAAGTAAAAAGAAATTTTTAGTAAAAGATATGAAGAAAGGACTTTTAAACTTTTAAGTCTTACAGAACTATATTAAACTTTCAGTTACATAATCCTTATCATGCTGAGAGAAGGTAGTAACTCACCAGTTTCCATTTAATTTCCACAGATTTTATTTGCAATGTCCTTCTAAAGATAGATATTCTGTAAGTTTTATATGATAGACATTACAAAAACACTTCAAAATTAAAAAGTTAAACTTCATTAAAATTTCACTTATTGGTTGAGATACGACTCTGTGTTTTGCTCTTTTCATTTTGTACTTCCTTTCCCATTCCCCTCCAATTTTTAGAGAATCAGGTATTTCAAGAACATTTGCAGACTCCAGACCCTCTTGATGACATCCTCTTTTTTTCCTTTTAAGAAAGTCTAAGCAAACAGATGTAGCCAGGAGAAGCAGTGTCAAAAGTCAGTATTTTTGAGAGGCTGAGCTAAAGATGAGAAAGAAGAGTTTCCCCCAAGATTAGGGAAGTTTCTAAAAATCTATAGTAAGTTTTCTTTTGGTCTGAGGAGAAGGGAGAGGAAGTTAAAAGGCTACGCTGGAACCCAGAGGATGCTGAGAGAAGATCAGGGTCACTACTTCCCAAGTGGTGCCTATGAATGAATTAGAAAAAGGCAACCCTTAAAAAGGCTAATGTAGCCCCAAGGGAACTCAATTTGGTAAATGTAGATGTAGTGCAAGCTAGACTTCAGCTCCTATTCTTTCCTTCAGTCAAGTACCCTTACATAGAGAAAAATCTGTCCAAGGGTATATGGTGGTCTCATGATGGTACACTTAGGGAAAACAGTCCCTTGGCACCTTCTGGCATGAGTAAATATTTCTTAACCAAAGCTTGGTATAATCAGCAGAGCAGCCTGCTTCCAAAAAACCATGTGTCTTAGACAATGAGGATATGACTAATAAACAAGCTGAACTAAAGATGTGACGACCAATTTTCTAGGTGCCACGTGAGACTTCACCTCATTCAAGCCTTGGATAAAGGAGGTCCTTGTCCTACCCTCTAATGACTGAATGAATTTCTCACTAGCCTAATGAGGACAAGATGTGAATTCAAATTGGGGTGTGTCTTACACACGAGTTGGTAGTTGTAGATTTATATATATTTTAATGACAAAAAGTTATCAATATATTCACTGATAATTATTTCTAGGAAACAGAACAGTAGGAATAAATCAAAATGAAAGAAATACAAATACAATGTGTTACTTTTATTAAAAGAATAAAACTTAAGAAGTTTCTCGTATTCAATTACTTCATTTAAGCCGTAGGCAGATGCCAAAGGTGATGGAACACATCATTACCACAAAAAAACATTCATAGACCAAAAAATTTCTCTCTTGGCAGAGAACTGGAGAGCATCTGGGATATGGAAACATGGGCATTTTGGTTTTTTTGATTTTGTTGTTTTTTACATATGACAGATATAAACTGCTAAATAAGAGTGAACGGATATTAGGAAGAAACTGGTTGTAGGAACAAATAGCACATAGGAGAACAAAGGAGAAAATGATGTCTACAACTTGGGGTGGTCAGAGAAAGCTACGGGGAAAAGAACATAAAACATTATTTCTGTAATACAACACTCATCAAGCTGTATTGTTGTAATAGTCTATTCACTTGTATCGTCCCCTAAATCGAAGGCCCATGGGATTGGGGGCTTCCCTTATTTTCTTCACCACTATACCTCCAAAGCCTAAACATAGCGTGTGGCACATATTATGCATGCAGTAAAAATCTGTTGAAGGAATGACAGAAAAATGGTATTTAAACTCAAACATAAATAAGCAGAGAGGAAAGACAAGAACAGTACTGAGAAGGAGAATATCTTAAGAGACACAATGATTGACATGTGAATAACATTTGTTTCCAGTGATTAATGAAAAACTAGTTAATTGGTTTAGCAAGGACTAGGTATGCACAGAGTGGGATATGAAGTCAGAGACACAGGTAAGTCAAAGGGCAGAAAGCCTTGAATTCCAGGCTATGAAGTTTAGATTTTTTTTCCTTAAGAAAACATTTTTTGAATTTTAAAAATGAACATGAATCTAAAACGGGACAAATGTTTCTAAGAAATAACACTGAAAAGAAAGATTTTGAAGAATCTACATATTCTATAAAGGACATCGTCAAATAAGCATAGTTACTAAGTAAAGGAGTGAGTATATGCACTTCAAACATTACAACACCATTGTAAGGAAAACTGCACACATACATCAGTTAATGGGAGCCAAATACCCTCTTAATATAAACAAACATGCTGAACTCAACTGAGGCACTCCAACATGTGACAAAAGAAGTAAGTATATATAATGCCTAAGTTTTACTATGGATATAGTGACATTCAAGCTATACAGTAAAATTCCATCTTAATCCTAAAAGCATCTTGCTAAGAAGTATGCCTTGCTATAATACCAATTAATACAGTTCAAAATTACCTCCTTTGACAAATGATATTTAGTAAGAGAGTCAAAGATTATGTCTTCCTAATGCTTTTAATGTAGATTTACAAAGTGAAGTACATTTTATATTCATCAGAACAGAACATTCAGCCCTGGATAAAAAACACATGTTCAGCAATTCTTCATAATATCAGTGGGAAATGATAATCAAACAACAGTGACAGAAGACAGAGCTTTTTACAATTCACATTTTCTTCTGACGTGCTGACAATAATTTTAATTGCTATCATTTAATGATGGGCCTTAAAGGTAGGTAAAATGGTCAAAATGTAGTGTATCATCTTCTGAAATAAAAATTTGAAAGGTTCAACTAGAGGTTACACCACAGTTCAGGATAAGCCCACTGCTTTGATCACAAATCCCAAGGCTTTCATGGCATAATGACAAGGATTGGTTGTGACCACACATATGCTTTAGTTTTCTTTATTAAGGTATGATCCCCACTGATATGAATGGCCTCTGCAGGAAGGCTGTACATTCTCCTTCTAATAGTTACCAATTCTATCCACTGAACTAAAACCATCATTCCAATGAGACCTGGGCAATGACAAATAGTAATCAATTCGCCCAGAGAAA